CGTGTACACGACACCGAGGTCACCTTCAACTTTTTGGTGANTTAAGAAGAAAAACTCTTTCAGAAGAAGTTGCAGAACCATGAGGTCTACAAGTCCAACATCCTAAAAAATCCAGACAGTTACCAAGTCCAGAATTAAACTTNAGTTCGTAATAAGAGCCCTGGAGCTCACGACGAACTCGTTAGTTTGTAATAAGAGCCCTAGNGAAGAAATGAGTCCTCGGCTATGAGAACACCCCTGCTCTCTAGTGAAGACACGTGTCTTCGGCACCGAGGACATTTTCAACCCTTTGGTTCAGACATGTATTCCCTGCATGATTAGATCTCTNGAAGAAATGAGTCCTCGGCTATGAGAACACCCCTGCTCTCTAGTGAAGACACGTGTCCTCGGCACCGAGGACATTTTCAACCCTTTGGTTCAGACATGTATTCCCTGCATGATTAGATCTCCGGGACTTTTATGGACACATCACCNGAGCTCACGACGAACTCGTTAGTTCATAAAAAGAGACCTAGAGCTCACGACGAACTCATTAGTTCGTAATAAAGAGCCCTGAAGCTCACGACGAACTCATTAATCCGTAATAAAAGCCTTAGAGCTCACGATGAACTCTTAAGTTCATGAAAATGAGTTCAATAGCTCACGATGAACTCCTAAGTTCATAGGAATGAGCTCAGAAGCTCACAATGAACCCTTAAGTTCATAAAAATGAGCTCAGTAGCTCTCGATGAACTCCTAAGTTCATCACAATGAGCTCGGCCACCTACGGTGGGGAGTTTAAGAAGAAAAACTATTTCAGAAGAAGTTGCAGAACCATGAGGTCTACAAGTCCAACATCCTAAAAAATCCAGACAGTTACCAAGTCCAGAATTAAACTCGGTAGCCTTATCCCCACTAAAGATAAAGCTGTGCTAGACACCCCCAAGCCTTCAAGAATAAGATCGCTTTAAGCTCCACGCCTCTCAGTTCACCATAACCTAAGCTCGGCTGCATAAACCTACAGAATTGCCAATACCAGCGTGAAACACAGGGAGCAGCTGGTGATGAGATTTACCACTTACTCTCGNTTAGTTCATAAAAAGAGCCCTGGAGCTCACGACGAACTCGTTAGTTCATAAAAAGAGACCTAGAGCTCACGACGAACTCATTAGTTTGTAATAAAGAGCCCTGAAGCTCACGACGAACTCATTAGTCCGTAATAAAAGCCTTAGAGCTCACGATGAACTCTTAAGTTCATGAAAATGAGTTCAATAGCTCACGATGAACTCCTAAGTTCATAGGAATGAGCTCAGAAGCTCACAATGAACCCTTAAGTTCATAAAAATGAGCTCAGTAGCTCTCGATGAACTCCTAAGTTCATCACAATGAGCTCGGCCACCTACGGTGGGGAGTTTAAGAAGAAAAACTCTTTCAGAAGAAGTTGCAGAACCATGAGGTCTACAAGTCCAACATCCTAAAAAATCCAGACAGTTACCAAGTCCAGAATTAAACTTGGTAGCCTTATCCCCACTAAAGATAAAGCTGTGCTAGACACCCCCAAGCCTTCAAGAATAAGATCGCTTTAAGCTCCACGCCTCTCAGTTCACCATAACCTAAGCTTGGCTGCATAAACCTACAGAATTGCCAATACCAGCGTGAAACACAGGGAGCAGCTGGTGATGAGATTTACCACTTACTCTCGTCCAATAAGCTCAAGTATGAAACTCCCAAAGTATTCTTGTTTCAGGAAGAGCTCAGCACTCCTTAAAGCAAGGGGAACAAGGGAAGACTAAAATAAAAACGCATAGCTAGAGCACATTTGAAGTCGCTGATTAGGAAGCCATTACTGTTACATCCTAAGTTCAGCCCTTGCCCAAGCCAGCTCGACCAAGAGCTGGGGGCAATTGATGATACTCAGAATGATTCCCGAGTAGGAGCTCGGGAATGANGAGCTCACGACGAACTCGTTAGTTTGTAATAAGAGCCCTAGAGCTCACGACGAACTCATTAGTCCGTAATAAGAGCCTTCGAGCTCATGATGAACTCATTAGTTCATAAAAAGAGCCCTGAAGCTCACGACGAACTCGTTAGTTCATAAAAAGAGACCTGTAGCTCACGACGAACTCATTAGTTCGTAATAAAGAGCCCTGAAGCTCACGACGAACTCATTAATCCGTAATAAAAGCCTTAGAGCTCACGATGAACTCTTAAGTTCATGAAAATGAGTTCAATAGCTCACGATGAACTCCTAAGTTCATAGGAATGAGCTCAGAAGCTCACAATGAACCCTTAAGTTCATAAAAATGAGCTCAGTAGCTCTCGATGAACTCCTAAGTTCATCACAATGAGCTCGGCCACCTACGGTGGGGAGTTTAAGAAGAAAAACTCTTTCAGAAGAAGTTGCAGAACCATGAGGTCTACAAGTCCAACATCCTAAAAAATCCAGACAGTTACCAAGTCCAGAATTAAACTTGGTAGCCTTATCCCCACTAAAGATAAAGCTGTGCTAGACACCCCCAAGCCTTCAAGAATAAGATCGCTTTAAGCTCCACGCCTCTCAGTTCACCATAACCTAAGCTCGGCTGCATAAACCTACAGAATTGCCAATACCAGCGTGAAACACAGGGAGCAGCTGGTGATGAGATTTACCACTTACTCTCGTCCAATAAGCTCAAGTATGAAACTCCCAAAGTATTCTTGTTTCAGGAAGAGCTCAGCACTCCTTAAAGCAAGGGGAACAAGGGAAGACTAAAATAAAAACGCATAGCTAGAGCACATTTGAAGTCGCTGATTAGGAAGCCATTACTGTTACATCCTAAGTTCAGCCCTTGCCCAAGCCAGCTCGGCCAAGAGCTGGGGGCAATTGATGATACTCAGAATGATTCCCGAGTAGGAGCTCGGGAATGGAGGTCAAACATGGAGGTCAGGTATGCTGAGCTCAGAAAATCATAGTTATGCAGAGCTCAGAAAATCAGAGTTAGAGTTCCCTTCAAGCGAGATAATAAGCTGAAGCAATGAGGAATCAATTGGATACTATAAAGAACTTTACAAGCGGTTTGAAGTAACACTCAAGGCACAAAATCTTCAACCAACCAAGATACTCTCCTAAGATAATGGAGAATTCCTCGAATAGATGGCGAGGATCACGGATCAGATCCCATAGATTAAGGGTCACTCCTATAAATACCATGTAATGCCCCCATCAGAAGGGGGGACCGAATGACCAAAAACCTATTCTGTAAACCTTTGGTATGATCAATAAAGAAAAAGGAGCCATAGCCTCCATTGAAGAGTGGATTAGCCGAGCTCCTGAGCTGGTGAACCACTATATTTCTACTGTGTTAATTCTCTAATTCCCTAACAATTTTCAGTATCATTTCCTCGAGTCTAGTAGCTCAGATCCCAATAATTTCAATATTGTTTCTTTCATTTACTCGTCATCACAAAATTGAATCACGTTGAAATACACCATCATCTAGAATTTTAACATCCACTGCAGAGTTATCATCTTGAGATAATTAGACTCAGACTTTTTGAGAATTGTTATTTAATTATTAATTATTAAAACTTCCTGACATTTGAAATAAGGTTAATTTTTACTTATATCCTAAAAGATTATTCGAATTTTAATTTACTCCCTTAAAGTTTAAAAATATCAATTTATATCTTAAAAGACATAAATTTGTATCAATGTGTACCGGAAGTTAACTGCTATCCATTTTGCTATTAAAAAAGTTTGGGATAACTATAAATTACACCTTCAACATTTAAATATTTCACATTTATGATTAAAAAAGAATTTCATCCATTAATACTCATTAAATATCTCTCAACTATGGTGTATCATGTTATTCTTTGTCATGTTGTATCATTTTAGTGTTGCGTTTGAGTTGATAAAAAAATATTTTTAACACAAAATATTTTCACGTTGAATCAATTGTGTTGTATCGTATATTTCACATTTATGAAAATTTATATAATATTATTTAATAAAATTATAAGAATACCTATTGTTTGCCTACAATGTTCATTAAATAACTATTTTTTGTCTACAGTTGTATTATTCATATCTAATTTTAATTTAATCGAACAGTCAAAAGATTCGTGTCTAACTGTAGAAATAACTATTTAACAAATATTAAAAGGAAAAAATGGATATTTTATAATTTTATAATTTTTTTTATTGACTTGAACATGACATGAAAATATTATGACACGATACAATTGAAAGTTATTTAATGACTATTAATGGATGACTTGAACATGATTCGAGTGATCTTTTAGGGTGCAAGGTAAGATTACATATAAGCCTTTTGAAGTTTGTCCGTAACACTTAGACCCTTGTCGTCAATGTCTATTATTATATTTGTTAGTAAATTATATTCAGACCCTCTAAAGTTTATAGACATGTAATACATAGACCCTTTAAGTTTAAAATATTATACTTACATAAAAAATACTCGAATCAAAGGTTGTATATCAAATATTTTAAATTTTACAATAAAAGTTTATGCTTTATTGTATCATTTATTGAATTAAAATTAAAAACAAAAATTCAATTTTTTCTTGAAAAATCATAATTAATATAAAATTATACTATCTTTCAAAAAAAAACTAAAAAATTAAATAAGGGGTCAAACTGTAACGGACATAATATTTTTTAGCTTTAATTGAAATAATTTGGTAGTTTAAATGACCAAATAAAATTCTAATAGATAGTATAATTATAACTTTTTAATAAAAATTTAGATTTTTATTTTTGATTTTACTTCAATAAATGCCATAAAAAAATATGAACTTTGGTTGTAAAATTTAAAATATTTGATATTTTATGATTAGAGTATTTTTGGTTAAAGTATAATATTTTAAATTGAGCAGTTTAAATATTACACGTTTACAAATTTTAGGGAGTTTGAGTATAATTTATTAATAGATATAATAACGGCAAGGATCTAAGGGCCTAAATGTTATATGTATAAATTTTAAAGGATCTGTGTGTAATATTTTAAATGTCAAAAAATTTAAATAATTAAACGACAAATATTAGCGATGTAGGTATAATTCTCCCTATCATCTTTAATCGCACCTCCTGTCCAGTCTAGCATCTCTATCTTGAATACCTCAGCGGTTTTAACCTCGGCGACCGGCGGTATTTCTGGGTGCCAACGATTGTGAAGATGTTGCTTCTGCTCCCATGGCTTCCTTCTTAGGTCTATGGGCACTCCTAGTCTTGGAGTTAAAGGAGCCATGGAGGGATAGAGTGGTAGTTTGGACGAGAAACTTATGTAGGCTAATCTATTGGTGTCGGAGCAAGATGGTCGTCGACTGAAGTGGGTTGGTACCCATAACCAAAGTAATTCGTGAGCCGTGGGACCCTATTGGAATGGTCCAACAAAGTTGTGAAAGGAACTAGAGCAGGGTCAGCAAAAAGCGCATCTTGGGTTCAAGTTTCTCTGATCGCATAATTTAAGGTTTAATCGATGCGCATGATTCGTTTGTAATTGCATCTATCTGATGCTCAAATTACAACATTGCATGATTGAGATGATTTTCCACCACCTCTTATTTGCCATCATTATGTTCTATGCTTACCAAGAGTGTGCTTAGTTTAGTATATGCTGACAATAACCTAGAAGATGAGGAGGTAAATAGACAACTCACAACAGAGAGGTCAGCATATTTGATATCTTCTGCAGTGTACTCCTTGGTAACGCCACCACCACTCCAATCCACCATCTCAACCCTGAAAACCTCTCCAACTTTGACCTCTGCAACTAGGGGTATGTCTGGATGCCACCGGTTGTGAAGGGGAAGTTTCTGTTCCCGTGGCTTCTTCTTCAAATCTATGGGCACCACCAGTCTTGCACCATGCAGAGCCATGGCTTTACTCTGATCTGTTTTTTTTTTTTCGATCTAGCGGCAGGCAAGTTGTTGTAGATGACCTGTTTGATAAAAGGTTTCTTAGAGAGAGACTGAAAGTCTTGGAGCCTTCATTTTCTGATGGGAATCTTGACAGGCACGATTGGAACAAGGTGGTCAGTTTTTTCTTGTTTATTAGTGGATGGACCACAGCATCTACACTGATGGTAGTCTAGACAAAGAATTGGAAGGTTAATTGTAATATGATTGTGTTATATAGTGACCGGCACCAGCCATATAGCTTTTCCTAATATTTTAAATAATAATAATGCCAACTGATGGGACAATTCTGAGAAAGAGTCGGAATTTGACATGTGCCTTTGGCATTGAGGACACCTCTAGCACTCCGGTGATGACATGTGTCCTTGGCACCGAGGACATCTTCAGCCTTCTGGTGAAGACACGTGTACACGACACCGAGGTCACCTTCAACTTTTTGGTGAAGAAATGAGTCCTCGGCTATGAGAACACCCCTGCTCTCTAGTGAAGACACGTGTCTTCGGCACCGAGGACATTTTCAACCCTTTGGTTCAGACATGTATTCCCTGCATGATTAGATCTCTGGGACTTTTATGGACACATCACCTTGGCTCTTGGATGGATTATTGACGGTGACTGGCCATCAATCTCAGTTAAACTATGAATCATTGGCTTGCCTTACCAACGAAGTCAGAATGACATAAGGGACAAGGTTAGTAACCAAAGAGAGTTAGACACGTGGCATAATGTACAGGATTGAGGGTAAATTGAAAAAAACCTCTACTGACATGTAGTCATCCTAGAGAACCATTTACTAATCACTCAAAAGGATGGAACGCCCATGATGACTTGGGAAGCCTAAAAGAAGGAGCATTAAATGTTCGGGAGTCCGAGCATTTAATGCCTGTGCTTAGAGGGAAGAACATTAAATGCTTGGGAGCCCGAGTATGTAATAACAAGCCCTTCCCCACGCAAAACAGGAGGTGCTCTGCCCAATAACTGGACACTACCCATTGCCTCCAAAATAAACCAATGAGAAGCCTCTTCTTGACATGACCCATCTAACAGTAATGATGACCTTCGTGGAAGGTATAAGTAGCATTCACAAATGTGAGGCAAAGGTACGCAAATTGACTCCAGAATACATAACAGTGCTTTTTCCTTTCCCTATCTTAGGAACTAACTTGTCTGTCGGAGGGGATACGCCAAAAAACACTCCGGCGCCCCTTCTAACCCATCTTTTGAGTGTTAGGAACCGCATTCGGCTTGCCGAAATTGATCAGATAGCTTTGAAAATAATTTATCACCACTCATTAGGCCATGTTTAGCCTCTCTTTGTCACAAAATTGTCGACTTTCGAGGTAAATATGAGTTCACTAAGAGAGAGAGCTGTCTTTTTTATTCATTGTGCGAAAATCACCGTGCACAGTTTAGCGTTGTTTGTGGAAAATCGACCAAATTGTCCCAAGAACAGTGACCATGGTGAATAATCGTCAAAAAGGAAAGAGTCCTCAATAAAAGAATACGAATTTACTAGCTCCTTCCATGTCGAGAACGAAGGACCACATTGAAAGTGTCAACAAGGAACTTTCTGTTCATTCTAGGGAGTAAACCTGCCAAACTAGTCTGAGTATCGGGGCTTAAAAATCAACCCCCTTGGCCTGCCAACTTGCTGATGTGATCGAAGATCGGTTCGGGGATCGACTACGACAATTGGAGGAGGACAACGTGAACGTCCTAAATCGACTCAATGAATTTGCACTCTATTGCAAAGGATCTCGAGACTTGCGGTAGTCATGGGAGCCCTTCGTCAGGGAAGTTGGGGTAAAGGACTTGAGGAATTGTCTGAGTGGTGAAGCAGGGAGCTCCAAGGCTCCGAAGCTCCCGAGAGCCAAGAGACAACTCCCGGAGGTTCCTACCAAGAGGGCTAGGCCATTGGCTTGGAATGACCTCTATCGGAGATTGTTTGGGACGAGGGGGCGTGGAGTAATCCAAGGAAGGATCAACCCTCTCCGTGTGGAATGCAGGATCTGAGGGGCACAATGACAGACGTCGAGGAGTTACAGAGATGTGCCCCAAGTAAGAGGAGACCCTCAGGGTACGGTTAGAGTCTGTGAGGAGGGATAAGACCATCCTAGAGGATGACACCAACGACGAAGCTATCCAATTGCCCTTTATATCGTGGAGATGGAGGTCCCAAAGAAGTTTGCGGTGTCGAAGTTCAAAGTGTATGGCGAACGCTCCAACCCGGAGGCTCATCNGGTCAAACATGGAGGTCAGGTATGCTGAGCTCAGAAAATCATAGTTATGCAGAGCTCAGAAAATCAGAGTTAGAGTTCCCTTCAAGCGAGATAATAAGCTGAAGCAATGAGGAATCAATTGGATACTATAAAGAACTCTACAAGCGGTTTGAAGTAACACTCAAGGCACAAAATCTTCAACCAACCAAGATACTCTCCTAAGATAATGGAGAATTCCTCGAATAGATGGCGAGGATCACGGATCAGATCCCATAGATTAAGGGTCACTCCTATAAATACCATGTAATGCCCCCATCAGAAGGGGGGACCGAATGACCAAAAACCTATTCTGCAAACCTTTGGTATGATCAATAAAGAAAAAGGAGTCATAGCCTCTATTGAAGAGTTGATTAGCCGAGCTCCTGAGCTGGTGAACCACTATATTTCTACTGTGTTAATTCTCTAATTCCCTAACAATTCTCAGTATCNAGCTCCTGAGCTGGTGAACCACTATATTTCTACTGTGTTAATTCTCTAATTCCCTAACAATTTTCAGTATCATTTCCTCGAGTCTAGTAGCTCAGATCCCAATAATTTCAATATTGTTTCTTTCATTTACTCGTCATCACAAAATTGAATCACGTTGAAATACACCATCATCTAGAATTTTAACATCCACTGCAGAGTTATCATCTTGAGATAATTAGACTCAGACTTTTTGAGAATTGTTATTTAATTATTAATTATTAAAACTTCCTGACATTTGAAATAAGGTTAATTTTTACTTATATCCTAAAAGATTATTCGAATTTTAATTTACTCCCTTAAAGTTTAAAAATATCAATTTATATCTTAAAAGACATAAATTTGTATCAATGTGTACCGGAAGTTAACTGCTATCCATTTTGCTATTAAAAAAGTTTGGGATAACTATAAATTACACCTTCAACATTTAAATATTTCACATTTATGATTAAAAAAGAATTTCATCCATTAATACTCATTAAATATCTCTCAACTATGGTGTATCATGTTATTCTTTGTCATGTTGTATCATTTTAGTGTTGCGTTTGAGTTGATAAAAAAATATTTTTAACACAAAATATTTTCACGTTGAATCAATTGTGTTGTATCGTATATTTCACATTTATGAAAATTTATATAATATTATTTAATAAAATTATAAGAATACCTATTGTTTGCCTACAATGTTCATTAAATAACTATTTTTTGTCTACAGTTGTATTATTCATATCTAATTTTAATTTAATCGAACAGTCAAAAGATTCGTGTCTAACTGTAGAAATAACTATTTAACAAATATTAAAAGGAAAAAATGGATATTTTATAATTTTATAATTTTTTTTATTGACTTGAACATGACATGAAAATATTATGACACGATACAATTGAAAGTTATTTAACGACTATTAATGGATGACTTGAACATGATTCGAGTGATCTTTTAGGGTGCAAGGTAAGATTACATATAAGCCTTTTGAAGTTTGTCCGTAACACTTAGACCCTTGTCGTCAATGTCTATTATTATATTTGTTAGTAAATTATATTCAGACCCTCTAAAGTTTATAGACATGTAATACATAGACCCTTTAAGTTTAAAATATTATACTTACATAAAAAATACTCGAATCAAAGGTTGTATATCAAATATTTTAAATTTTACAATAAAAGTTTATGCTTTATTGTATCATTTATTGAATTAAAATTAAAAACAAAAATTCAATTTTTTCTTGAAAAATCATAATTAATATAAAATTATACTATCTTTCAAAAAAAAACTAAAAAATTAAATAAGGGGTCAAACTGTAACGGACATAATATTTTTTAGCTTTAATTGAAATAATTTGGTAGTTTAAATGACCAAATAAAATTCTAATAGATAGTATAATTATAACTTTTTAATAAAAATTTAGATTTTTATTTTTGATTTTACTTCAATAAATGCCATAAAAAAATATGAACTTTGGTTGTAAAATTTAAAATATTTGATATTTTATGATTAGAGTATTTTTGGTTAAAGTATAATATTTTAAATTGAGCAGTTTAAATATTACACGTTTACAAATTTTAGGGAGTTTGAGTATAATTTATTAATAGATATAATAACGGCAAGGATCTAAGGGCCTAAATGTTATATGTATAAATTTTAAAGGATCTGTGTGTAATATTTTNGCATTCACAAATGTGAGGCAAAGGTACGCAAATTGACTCCAGAATACATAACAGTGCTTTTTCCTTTCCCTATCTTAGGAACTAACTTGTCTGTCGGAGGGGATACGCCAAAAAACACTCCGGCGCCCCTTCTAACCCATCTTTTGAGTGTTAGGAACCGCATTCGGCTTGCCGAAATTGATCAGATAGCTTTGAAAATAATTTATCACCACTCATTAGGCCATGTTTAGCCTCTCTTTGTCACAAAATTGTCGACTTTCGAGGTAAATATGAGTTCACTAAGAGAGAGAGCTGTCTTTTTTATTCATTGTGCGAAAATCACCGTGCACAGTTTAGCGTTGTTTGTGGAAAATCGACCAAATTGTCCCAAGAACAGTGACCATGGTGAATAATCGTCAAAAAGGAAAGAGTCCTCAATAAAAGAATACGAATTTACTAGCTCCTTCCATGTCGAGAACGAAGGACCACATTGAAAGTGTCAACAAGGAACTTTCTGTTCATTCTAGGGAGTAAACCTGCCAAACTAGTCTGAGTATCGGGGCTTAAAAA